TGGAACCTCAGAGGGAAGGCTGGGGAGGGTGGGTGGGTGGGTGGGTGGGAAGAGATCAACCAAAGAACTTGTATGCATATATGCATAACCCATGGTCACTAACAATAGGCTGGTAAAGTCTTGGGGGGTGGGGCTAGAAGGGTCAATGGGGGAAAAAAGGGGGATATATGTAATACTTTCAACAATAAAGATTAAAAATAAAGTAATAAAAAAATGAACAAAACAGTAAAAAGTAGAATTGCACCAACTTGAATATGTAAATAGATATTTGCAGCTCAATATTGCAGTCTCTGCTCTTTTTAAGATCTTCAAATGCATCCGTTGCTCATACAGCATGTGATTGTTAAAGTATAAATGATGGCCATAAACCATATTAATTAGGGTATTTATTTTTGCATTATTTTAAAAATTATAAAATGAAATAATTTGAGGTGATAAATATTTCAAGCACTTTTCCAGTTTTTCCAATTTAATGATATTTATAACTAAACTTTCATACATGAATTCATTTAAAAGTTTAGTGATATAAAATAAAATCAAAATAAAAATGACTGGTTCTGCAGTTTAGCCCTTGTAGAAAAATAGTATATTTTTAAGGGAAACTAGTGATTAGTTTATGAATATTCAAAATAAAACATCCAGAAAATGGTAAAGTGGTAGATAAATAGCATACAATTACTTTATTTTTTCAGAGGGTCTACTCAAGATTTGTATATGAATTTTGTGAAAACCAGTCTACTGAAATAATAGATAATGCCTCAACCTTCTGACATTATTTTTAGTGTAATTTTTGAGAATTATACTGAGTATAATACAGTGGGGCCTTGACTTACGTGTTTAATTTGTTCCGTGACGGAGCTCGTAACTCAAATTAATCATATGTCAAATCATAAAGTGAACGAGTGAGACACGTGATGCTGGGCTGATGTTGTGGCGTTCACTGTGACGTTCGCTGTGCCAACTAGCGGTGGGGTATCTGAAGCTGGCTCGTAACCCGAATTTTAGCTCGCAACTCAAAGCAAAAAATCGGCCGAGAGACGGCTCATATCTCGAAAAACTCGTTAGTCGGGACACTCGTAAGTCAAGGCCCCACTGTAATTGAGAATGAATATTTTAAAAATAATATCTCATTTAACTGAAAAAAAATGTTCCATTTCTATCAAAAGTCCCTGTAGTCTGGGTGTCTATTATCTTTAAAAATATCTAGTAAATGCTTCTTTTCTTATGTGTACATTGTGATTACATCATGAACAGAACTGGATAGGCCATGTAGGAGATCATAACATGTATTTATGTTATTCTGGCTTGAACTCTGAGGATCCACATTGCCCTGGAGAACTGGTTTGCTAATGGTCTCTGCTAGGGTACCAAGTTATGAAAATGTGCTCCTGGTGATGGAATAAAATCAATGTTCAAGGGTTTCTAGCTCATGTTTGTGTCATTTAGCTTTAGCTTTGTAACAAACCACCTCAAATGCAGTAGCTTATAGTAACCATTTTATTTAGACTATGATTCTACGGATAAACTGATAGCTCTTCACTCTGGCCCAGCGTAGTTGATGTTTGCTAGGCTTCCTCATGCTTCTGTGGCTTGTTTAAAGATGTGTTGACAGCTGGATGATCTGGGATAACACACACGTCTGGCAATTGACGGACTCTCAGCTGGGCACCTTCATCCTCTCATGGCTTCTCATTGTGCAGCAGGCTAACTCAGGCTGGTCCCCATGGTAGTCCCAGGGTTTCAGCTGCAGCAAGAGAAGGCAAGTCGCAATGTCCAAGCACTTCCTTCTGGTGAAAAATTGCTTTAGTTCCATTGATCGAATCAGGTCATATTGCCAAATGCAGCTTCAAGGGGAGAAGAAATTGCCTCCATCATCATTTTTATAACTTAGACTTCATTACGCTCTACTGTATATAATTGAGAACATGTTGAAAGTCTTCCCAGGTAAAAAGAAAACAAAGTAGGAAATTCCTTTCTATGACATGACAGGTTTTAAAGCCAGAAATATCTCTAATGAGAACATACCTATATTAGTGTTGTTTGCCTAGGAATTTAAAAATCAACAAAGGAAAAGACCATGTTCTTATCTCATATCTCTTTAAAAACACTCAGTCATTGTCAAGTGAAGATTGTTGGATTAGGGAAATACCAAAAATAAAAAATAAAAAAATCACCAAAATTGGAAAAGAAACTATGAGTTAATGATACACTTACTGAAAACCTAATTCTCCTTTAGCATCCTCTTTAACAAACACACATTTAAACAAGATTACATATGTTTATTCAGTCAATAAATGCTTCTGACTTAAGACATCTAAAGAGAAGCTGTTTAAAAACAATGATTTGTAACAACTCATAGTCATTATTCCAGAAATTTGAATTGTTTTTATCCATACCACTCTATTCTTCAAAAATTATCCCATAATTAAAATTAAGATGGGACAAAGATAATACACACAATTTAAAAGTAAGCTCCAGGAAGGCAGGCATTTTTATATTTGGATTATTACTGAATCCCAAGTGCCTAGAAAACTGCCCAGCCTATGGAGTTAGGTATTCCATAAACACTTGTGGAATCCCTCTGAGTCCGTTGGATTTATTTTATTATCCAAAGCAAATATCTAGTGCTCCTTTCTGATGACAAATGTCAATAGCAGTTCATCCAACCAAATCACAGAGTGAAGACCAAACATCGGGATTGGATGGGGGCAGTTACAATGCACAAAGGAGGACTAGGCAGGAGATGAAGACTGCCTTAAAGAAGCATTCTATGGAAAGGGAATTGGGCGCTTATTTTGGAGGAGAATTTAAGAGAAAATAAGGGCACATGCAGATGTCAAAATAGTGGGAGAGTTTTGAGTGCTAGTTCCAGAGCTATTTCCTTTAGGAAAAACAAATGTGTTTAATTATTCAAAATTATTTATTAGTGACTTTTCCTTTCCATTCTTTCTCTCTCTTTTTTTTCTTCCTTTTTTTTAAAAAAAAATTACAGATCCGTGGTGGAAAACTGATGATCTCCAATACCAGGAAAAGTGATGCAGGGATGTATACCTGTGTTGGCACCAATATGGTGGGAGAAAGAGACAGCGATCCAGCAGAGCTGACTGTTTTTGGTAAACCTCTATTTTAATTACAACTTGCTATTTGTATCACTTTTCCCTTTGTTTTTAAGTGTTTTTGTTATTAATACTAAACACCAGGCCATATAGAGATAGTTTTTATGGCTTATGGTAAGCAGTGACAGGCTGGAATTGTCCATTTTTTTTGTTTCTGTCTCCAAGATGAAATCTTTGATGGGAAGAAAAAGAAGACATTTGAAATGTTAATCCACCTACTCTATTCATGTATTTATACAGGTTTGCCTTTCATCATCATATAAATAATTGTTCTTTTTCAAAATCTATTTGAGATATTATATCCTAAAGTTTATCACTTATTCTACTATGATGCATTTAACAAGTATCTATTATGTGCAAGACAAAGGGTGTTTTTCTTTTAAGTTAGAGATTGTAATACAAAGACGTTTCACTTTTTTCCTACTTTAAAAATTTCAAATTGAGGTATTTGGAATTTTAGCTGATTATTGAAAGACTAGCTAACCATATATATGCTCACAATTAAAATTAGAAAGAAAAAAATCTATTTTGTTATATTTATGTTTCTTCAACTTTAAGCACCAAAGGACTCTTTAGCTGAAGTTTTAATTAGTCAGTTAAAACCTGATAGATATGTATCACAGAAATAGTGGAGAAAACATTAAGAAGGAGAAAGTTGTGGATAATAAAGATGGCCAAGTAAACAAAAGTAAGAGAAGTACTACAGGACAGCTGTGGAATATTGTAAGAGAAAATGATGGAAAACTGGGGAAAACAAAGATTCTAAAGATACTAGAAAAATGAAACATTCCTTTAGAAGACAACAAAATCCCATTCGAATCTCTGTATGGAGATATATATTATGAATATACACACTCACAAATGCACACATGCACGTGCATGTATATGCACACATGTACTTAAGCATATTTATGTGTATGAATATCTATATCTAAATAAAAATTCACTATTGCAAATATATGTGATTTTCTTTTCAACATACAAGAGATAATTGTGATTTTTAAAGTACTTTTTGTGTGCCAGTAAAAGAGACTCCTGGTTCTATGCACAATATGATAAGATCTTTTTTTTTTTTGGCCATTATTCCAGAACACCCCTGAGGGTAGCAACAGAATCCTGAATAAGTCCCTAAAGAAACTTCTTTTTAGTTTGGGAAGTGCCACCCCATGGTGTAAAGGAGTGCCATAATGCAAAAATGGACCATGTTAAGATTGCAATTCCATTTTTAGCGTCAGGGTGTGCTTTATGAATATTCACCAGAGTGCAAGCCCCTCTCTTCAATCACTCTGAGTACAAGTAATCTCTGGTCATACTCCTTGCAGATACTAAGCAGCTTGAAGTCCCAAATGACAAAACCAGGAGAAATCTCATCATCCACGAAAGGAATTGAAGAGTAAAATAAAATTATTCAAAGTGTGCATGTAAATTGCTATCCTGCAGAGCACAGACAAGCATCAGTTTTTCGTTAAATTTCATGCAGTCACCTATGAGTCCCAAAACGTGTTCCACTCTGTAATGAATAAAATATAGTTTTTCTGGCAATATATAAAATTAGTGGTCACTGAACACGAGCATTGAAAACCTATAAGAAACAGTCATGCTATTTTTCCGTAACTACCCAGCTTTGGTTCACAAAAATGTTGCATTACAGCAGTATTTACTGCCATCAGAAGGTATTTGAAAGTGTTTAATCTCATTACCTGAGCAATTAGACTTACCAGACTGTGATTGTGTTATAAAATATTTACCTAAAGATGTGATGAGAAGTACAGGAGATCCCTAAACATGCCAGGCGTTACAGGGTAACTTCTAAATTATTTTTAAAATAGCTATAAACCAAAGAGATTGAATTTGTCTAGAGGCAGTTCCTTTGGAAGAATTGATTTAGGAAGCTGAGAAACATTTATCTGATGGTGTAAACCAGTCAGAACGGACCTAAGGGGCTATAAGTGCAATATTAAGTTGTGGGAAAAACTAAAATTCCATTATTGATAAGAAAACAACATCCAAACCAAGAAATAAAAGATAAAAACAGTAGTGATGGTCTAACCAAGGATGTGACAAGTACTGCCTGAGATTCCCCAATTCTTAGAGAAAATAAAATAACCAGTGTGCTCTGTATAATGAGGCCTTCTTTATTTTATTTTGGTGCTTTTGCATCTAGGACAGGTTTACTTTTAAACCTCTTTATAGTTTATCATTGTTAGAATTATCATCTCTGATCTATGTTTAGAAAAGCAAAACTGGTTACATTCTCTCCCTCCTCTCTCTCAACTTTATTTCCATGTATTAGAAATTCTTCTTTTAAAAATATCTGTCTATTTCCCTGGCTGGTGGTCTCAGTGGTTAGAGCATTGACCTGGTCCAGGGCATGTACCTGGGTTTCAGGTTTGATCCCAGGCCCAGTCGGGGTGCATGCGGGAAACATTCAATCGATGTGTCTCTCACATCAATGTTTCTTTCTTCCTTCCCCTCTTTCTCTCTCTCTTTCTCCCTTCCATCCTCTCTCCTTAAAAAGAAGAAAAAAGTCAATGGAAAAAACATTCTCGGGGGAGGATTAGCAAGAACAACCAAAAATCTGGCTACTGTGACCACTGTATTATAGGAAGTTTTTAAATGTCCTTTGCAACCCCATATTTACTTTAAGATGTGTACTATAGAAAAAGTAACTGATAATATTTAATTGTTCCAAAATATGATTCACTTATAAATTGCAATAAAAAACAATGAAAAGAATAAAGGGTCTTTGCCAATATAATACCCATCTGCAAGTATTTTGATTCTTTATTAAGTGGTCTTGGACTTAGACCTTTTGTAGCTTGAAAATTGCAACTAATATTTTAAAGATCTGCACTTTAGACAAAGATATTATCAATGTAATGTAATGTTCAATATGTTACTATTCCATACTCCACAAATCATTTACTCCGTTTGTTCTTCTTTAATGTAAAATAGCATCCTAGTTAAATAGGAAGTACCAAGTCTAAAAATTATAAATAGGCATCATAGTGATGGGAGAGTTTAGATATATTTTTTATAAAGAACACTCCCCCCAGGTCTGGTGTGGCTCTGTTGGTTGGACTATCATTTCATACACCAAAAGGTGGTGGGTTCAATTTCTGGTCAGGGCACATACTTAGGTTGTGGGTTCCATCCCCCATAAGGGCACCTGCAGGAGGCAGGAGATTGATGTTTCTCTCTCTCTCTCTCCCTTCCTACATCTAAAATGAATTTAAGAAATAGAATACTACCTAGCAATCTAGCAATTTATATATGTCAATTAAATTCCCAAGATCCTGACCCTGCCAGTGTGGCTCAGTGGTTGAGCATCGACCCACGAATTAGGAGGTCATGGTTCATTTCCCCAGTCAGGGCACATGCTTGAGGTGCAGGCTCAATCCCCAGTAGGCGGAGTGCAGGAGGCCTTTGATGGATGATTCTCTGTCATCATTGATGCTTCTATCTCTCTATCCCTCTCTGAAATCAATTGAAAAACACATAAAAACATAAATTCGCAAGATCCTGAAGACAGAGAAACTAGAGTTAAATTATATAATTAAGTTTAAAACAATGGTTAGGTTTGGGATATCTGTTATCCAAAATTTAACCGGTATTAAAAAACAACCAAAAATTTTTCCCAAATGATTTTTAAATGTTTATCAAAGTAATACATGAAAAAACATTTTATATGTCACATTTCTAGTAGACCCAAAAGTACTATAAACTAATAATGAAATAAAGAAAAATTTTGCCCCACCTTACTTTCCAACACACACACACACACACACACACACACACACACACACACACACCTCATCTTTAAACATTTCTTCTGGGATTTATTTCCTTACTTCTAAATATGTACTTATTCCACGACTGTGTACATTATTTGATTTCCTATTTTAGAAGATGATGATTTGCCCCACTTCTATCCCCTGCCCCACCGTCTCTCCTCCACTTTCCCTTCTGTTTGTCCTTCCAGTATAATGACTTCAGAAACATTGGTTATATTAATATTCAGAATTTGAATTATTATAACCATGCAAATATAGACTGTGGGCTGTGTTATGTTATGATGGCATTTTTTTTCTGGTACAATATTTGTTCTCTGAATTAGTAATAATTTTTCTTTTACTTATGTTTGTCTACACCTATCATGAATTATTTTTGAAATTTCTAACAGAATGTTTACATTCCTCTAAATTTTTATTTAGGTATGAAGTCCACCCTGGCTACAGCCTTCCTGGAGGCTTCAGGCTACTGGCCCAATCCGACTGGGCCGGGTGCTCCCTAGGCCTCTCCACAAACGTCATCCTCATACCTCTCTTCCCTTTGCTCTGATAATGGATGCCCATCTTTCTGCATCCTGTGTGTTTTTCTTGGGTAACTTCTATATTCAGAAATGTTTCTCCTTCTTTCTACATAACTTGAGCCTAGAGCTCATTCCAGACCAAATGCCTTTATTCCATCCAAAATTTAATTGATACTTTGGCTGCTTATAGAATTATAGTTTAAAAACAGATATTTTTACTCATAACATTAAAGTGCATCTCCAATATTATTCAGCTTCCACTGCTGCTATTGAGAAGACTACCGTGCTTCTGATCCCCTGTGACCAGTTTTCCTTTTTTTCTTTTAGTACTGTCTTTTTATCCCAGCGTTCTAAAATGCTTCAATACCGTGCCTTGCTTTGGCACTTGTTTAATTTTAGTGGCTAGACACCTGGTAAGCAATCTCAATCACAAAACTCTTTATCCAAATAAGTCAAGGTAATATCCTATCCATTTTTCTATTCCATTTCTCTGTCAAATATGTATTTACTAATTAAATGATAAACCTTCTAGGCCTTTCTTTCCTCTAATTCTTTCCTATCTTTGTCATCTTGTTCTTGTTTCATGGATGTTTTAACCTCTCTTATTTCTCAGGATTTTAAAAACACGATTTTTAAAAAAATAAAATTTACTTGCGATGCTTTCCTGCTTTTATTTCTTCTGGGT